ATATATATATATATATATATATATATATATATATATATATATATAATAATTAAAAAACAGACTAAGTGCTGCAGGCCTTCGGATTTGTCAGCTGTACATTAAATATTCAAATATAAATTATAATTCAGTTTATCAACGCGAAGACGTGCATACGGTCGACGGAATAATTATAAAACTTTAAAAATAGGAAATGTATAGTATATAGTACAAATATAGTATAGTGTAGTATAAATATATGGTACATAACAGTTCTAGAGTAAATTTAAAGGGAGAGTTTACTCTAGGTTCTAGGGTTATTTTCAGCTCATTTAGGTTATAATTACGCTAGGCCCTACATAAAAAGTTTCATGGTTCAATCACAATTAGAAATCCTTTTTTTAAATGTTTTAAAACTAACGACTACAGTTTAATTACAACGACGGTGGCGCCACTCAAAGCGCACGATCTGATAAGTTGCGCAAAACTACTTTCCAGCCAAGGGCAACAGACCGAGGGTGTTTATTATTTATTTATTTAAAATCAAAAGGATTGTAATATCTTATAAACGACATATAGTTTCAGTTATAATAATATTATGGATAAATTTGCCCAAAAATAAATATCGTTTGGTTAAATAGCATTTAGGTATAAATATACTTGCACTTTTGTGATTAGCCCTCGGTCTGTAACGTGCAAAATAAATGGTCAAATACGCAACTTTTTCGGGGTGGCAGCATGGTCGCGGGTGTCATGGCGCCATTCAAATTTCGTAGCGTTGATGTGTAATTAATTATAACAATTCAATTAGGTATCTGGTAACAAATACGTGTCGGTATAGACAATTTGTTATACAGTAAGTACAGTTGTATGCAGTAAAATCCTAGAGGCTACTGTCCCTTTAAGTATAGATTTTTCTTAGAACGAACTGTGTTGCGGCCATGTTTGAACATTTCGCGTAATAATTTTATTGGGTTTAAATTCGCCTGTTGCAACACTGTCGTTACATTCTGTGAAACGATTAAATCTGTTATTATTATTTATATATTATTATTATTATATTATATTATATTATATTATATTATATTATATTATATTATATTATAGTATATAATATTATATTATTATATTATATTATATTATATTATATTATAATATTATATTATATAATATTATATTATTTTATATTACATTACATTACATTACATTACATTACATTCTATTACATTACATTACATTACATTACATTACATTACATTACATTGCAGGTATTTCGGGTGTTAATTCAGGTGTTAGTTTTTCTGAAACGCCTCCCCTCCCTCGATATTAGACTGATATTGTTATTGTTTTTGTTATTATTATTTTTTATTTTTTTATTATTATTATTATTATTGTTATTATTGTTATTATTGTTATTATTAGTGTTGTTGTTGCTATTGTTGTTGTTGTTGTTGTTGTTGTTGTTGTTGTTGTTGCTGCTGCTGCTGCTAGTGGTGGTAGTGGTGATGGGGTGTTGGCAATGGTGATGCGACTACTATTGCTACAGCTACAGCTGCTGCTGCTGCTGCTGCTACCGCCGCCACCACTGCTGTTGCTGCTGCAGCAGCTGCTGCTGCTACCGTCGCTACTACCGCTGCTGCTGCTGCTGCTACTACCGCCACCACCGCTGCCGCTGCTGCTGCTGCTACTACTACAGCCGCTGCTGCTACTGTTGCTGCTGCTGCTGCTGCTGCTGCTACTACTGCTGCTACTACCGCCGCCGCCGCTGCTGCTACTACTTTTGCTGCTACCGCCGCTACCACCGCCGCCGCCGCTGCTGCTACTACTTCTGCTGCTACGGCCGCTACCACCGCCGCCGCTGCTGCTGCTGCTACTACAGCCGCTGCTGCTACTGTTGTTGCTGCTGCTGCTGCTGCTACTACTACTACTGCTACTACCGCTACCGCCGCTGCTGCTACTACTTCTGCTGCTACGGCCGCTACCACCGTCGCTGCTGCTGCTGTCATAACAGCTACAGCGGTGCTGCCGAGAAGCGGCGTACGTGCTATTATGTGTGTTAGTGTAAATAAGTGAGAGGCGGGATTGTCGTGAGTATGTGTACGCGTGACAGTGTGTGCAAGGCCATCAGAGTTCGTCCCCCGCGGGCGTGCCTGACCTGCGCCATCACACC